GTCGCTAGCCCCCGAGATCCCTCCCTCGATAATGCTAACGGCCGGGCTAGCATCATCAATCGCCCCCCCGCTGCTAAGCGAACCGCTGCTAAGTTCCTCACCTATGGTGTGGGAGCCGTCGCCCGCGGATTCCCCTCCACCGCGGGTCCGCGTAATGGGCATGGTTAATTACCGATTAGTATTCTGCCCCTCTCTACTACGATACTTCCCTTTCCTAATCGCGCGCCTGCAACCCACGCAGAGCGAACGCACGCACGCCCACACACACGCCGCTCCGCGCACTCCAACTCAACTCACGTTATACTCGCGCACCTGTATCACACACGGAGTGAACACACGCGACACCCACTCTCGCACCGCTCTGCGCAGCGCTCCCCCGAGGCGAGCCGCAGCACTACAGAATCACTGCGTACCCACGCGCAACCCGCGCGCTCAGCTCCGCGCAGCGCTCACTCACGTGGCGAACCACTGTGCACACAGCGCACCCACACGCTCACACTGCACGACAAGATCACGCGAGACCACGCTTCGCTATTAATGATTTATTATATGCCACCTGCGAATTGATGTTGAATCAGTGAGTCGACGAGGCTGGCCTATTCCACTAAACCTGTACCTATTCCCTATTTATCGGCTTACGATACCCTACTTCACCTCCCCACTCACTGTTTGGTGCCCGCGGAGGTTCGCTGCTCTCTGCGCTAACAGCGTACCTCGATGCGTCGCACGGACGTCCGGGTCGCTGGCTGGAACTCCTGCTGGTCCGCTGGCCTGGAGAGAAGAGAGCGATTTCCCCTCTGCACTCCTCTATTTATCCTCCCTACCTCAAAGGGGATGCTGCGCTGAACAATGGGCTCGTGCACCCCAAGCCCGCGCACGGCGGTTCCCGGGCGCTGTTGATATGCTAATCAGTGCGCGACGTTGGCGGCGTACATCCTAATTACTCCCTTACCCTTCCTAACAATGGGGCCTGCGCGCTCAAGCGCAATTATCCCAACCCTCCATGACTATGCGCAACAGCCCCTGTGACCCCGCTATTCATGCTGTCCCGTGCCTCCCCTGCTTGCCCCGTCGACCCGTGGGAGTGTGTGTGGGGGGAAATGCGCCTCAACCGCGGTGGCCGAATGCCCCACGCCGCGACCACACCATATTAAGGCCGGCCGCAGCGCCGCGGTGCCACGTAGCACGGGGGAGGTCATCCAATTCCCTGATCGCCGGAAACCGTGAGAATTAATCCCGATAAGGGTCTCTCGGATAAAAACCGGTCGGCCAGGCGACCTCCCCTCGGAGCTCTATGGGGGGGGGGGGGAAATGAGTGCGGGTGTGTTCATGTGAGGTGAGGTGAGGGGGACGCGGGGTCGGCTCCGTTGCTTGGTGGTGGCGAGGTCGGGGATTTGGTGCCTGCCGAACGGCTTCGTGGCGGCGGCATCACAGCTTCTGGGCAGCAGCTTCGGTATCTGCCGGAAGGTGGCAAGCTTTGGCGCGGTGCGGTGACATCAACGGCTTTTGGCCACGATGTCATTTTGATCTTGAGCAAACAAAATAGTTTGGGAAGGCTTTTGAAGGGGGCAGTTTTTTTCTTTTTAACCCTTTCCGAGACGTCTGCAAGTTTGCAGGATGGGTGTCCCGTTCACCGCTGAATCTCGGAACGGGCAACCGGTGCAGCGTTAATTTTATTTAGAGCGGCATAGTGCCATCGTTTTTAAAGACATTGTACTCACCGCAGAGAACCGCAGCAACACGACCACCACACTCTACGATAGCTGGCGCTAAAGTGTGCCACACACCCCTCCCGCTTGGCCTTGTGGGAGCCTCAGAATGCCTTCCGACATGAGGACTTCCCGATAAAGTTATATTTGGTTATTTTACTTCAGTTTGAATTCCGATTCAATTCCAGTAATGTTCGTGTATGTCATCGGAATGGCAAAGGGTTAATAGAGAAGGGGCACGCGGGGAGTGGAACACAACATTACAGCAGCAGACACCTGTCTGAACTCAAGTACATGTTCTGCTGCTGCTGTTTAACATGTAAATGGAATGTTTTTGTTTTAATGTAATAGGAAACACCAGCTGTACAATGTGTTCCTGTGTTGGCGATAACAGTTGTCATTACCTTACGTGTGAATTAAATTACATCCAAATTGTTACTTTTTAAAATAGTTGGTAAATTTAATTGGAAATTAACTTCAAATCTATATTCTTCTTTATGCAAACATTCGTGTGTATTGGCAGTTTTTCTTGGCTTTGCCTTGTGTATATATATACACTGCCTTGCAGTGGCTAATAATAGATTACAATGCTTGTAATACATGCATCGAATCTTTCCAGTAAATGTTTTTTGCTCATTTATGATGGTTACCTGTAGGCTAATTTGGCAAGCAACGCAGAACAAACAAGGCAGAATGTGCCTTTTCTTGAATTTAATGTTCCAGTTTTTCAAATATTTGATTGCAAAACACGCAGACACGCTAAATAAATGCACGCGCACAAATAGGAGCATGCAAATAGAAGCGCATACGCAATAACTCATTGATGGCTGCGCACATTTACACACGCACGCGTAATAATAATAATTTACATTTATAAAGCGCCCTTAAACAATCGTTCTCAGGGCGTACATGGACACGCAGCCATAAATATACAGGCCCAAATACAATCGCGCAAAACACACAACAACACAGCACAACACAGCACACAAATTCACACACACAGAAGCTCAATGGAGAACTGGCAAAATGTAATACAGTTAACGGCACATCATTTCTAAATTGTTGCGCAAAGAGCGAGATGCAACATGGAGAGGCACCAGAGATTAGCCAGGGGTGGGGAGAGAGATGGTCGCAAAGTGAGAGAGACATGAGGACAGAGTGGCATGGTGGGAGACGGAGAGATGTGAGGTGACACACAGCTGGAGAGACGCTGCGTGGGAAGGGGTTAAATGAAGGAGAGGCACCTGGATGGAGGGACGGAAGGAGCGACTATTAATCTATAAACTAATTTTTATTTTTCCAGTTAAAGCCCCCACTGAGCTGTATATCTCTTTTTCAGAAGCAGCCTGGCCTCAAATTATATTCCAATGAAGTGGCTCATCATGTGCAAATTTTATAGCAGCAAACACTCCAAACACATGTTTTTCAATGTGGAAGGAAAGGCCGGAGGACTTGGACAAAAATTCCACGCGGCCACGGGGAGAAGATGCAAACTCAAATATATATGCATTGTCAGCAGTCGGGATCGAACCCACGACCTCCCGTATACCAGACGAGGTAGTTAACATCTCGCCACCATGGCGCCCCAGACTTAAACGAAATAGAAATTGGGATAGGGACACGGGTTGATGGATACGAGGAGAGACATCATGTTAAGAGAGTCCAGGAGAGAGAGGGAGACACAGGAATAGAAAAACGTGAGAGATCGACTGGAGGAGAGACTGATAATGAGACTCAAGGGGAAAGAGACGAGGAGAGACACGAGGTGAAGGATATGAGGAGAGACACCATAACACGCTCGCCTGGCACTTGGTGAAGGGGAGGGAGTTGCAGCAGTAGCGGTGACATGAGGTCATAAAGTAGGGTAAAGGTCGGAATAGGCCAGGAGGTCACCAGAGGTTAGTTCAGCAGTCGCCAATTATGGTGGCTATTAGTAAAGTTAAAGAATGAGTAATTTTGCGTGGATTTTTGTGGTTTAATGAACGAAGCCCAATTTATTTCCACCCGTGTAGAATGATATGACGCGCGCGGATAGATTAGGTGTTTATGCATTGGAATAACCCCGTGGTTTTTTTTAAACAAATAAGTCATAAAACAAGAAGATAATTTCGATAGTTTAAATTGTTTGATTCACCCCATTCTTGAATGGAACTGTGCCCCAGTCTGTGATAACTCGCAGGATCTTTGGGTTGAAGTGGAGGAATTGTTACTTGCCTGCAAGCCAGCCCCACTCTTCATCGTTTAACATGTGTACTCGCCATTCCACCTATGCTGGTGAACGAGCTTGCATCCTGGAATTCAGCCACTCCTGAAACCATCGGATTCCTAGAGGCACAGTCACTGTAGGTGCCGTGGGTATCCAAACACCCTCAATCTTTTTTTAGGCACAGCTAAGATATGCCCACAGACTTTTTTTGGACATGAATCCAGTTTTTTATTGAGTCCGTGTTTTTACTCAACTCCAACACGCCCGCAAATGCTGATTGATTTTGATGCTGACATAACCTTCAGAGTCAGAAGAGTGCACGAATATTAGGCTCAGTACCGAATCAGCAGCCAGCAGTTGCGTAGATTTAATATAAAAGTGGTTCAGTAGAATTCCTGTTTTCCGTGACAAAGTTCACAGGTCCCATCTGTAGTGCATTCCAGTAACCACTGGAAACATTGTGATTGAATAATATAGAAACATGCATCTATATTATATTATTTGGGTCTTTCGGTAAAGTCACGTAGATAGGTTCAAAGAAAATAACAAAAAACTAGAAGTTTTTGTTATTTTCTTTGAAACTAGTAGTTTTTTGTTATTTTCTTTTAATCAATCTACGTGACTTTACCGAAAGACCCAAATAATATGAATTCCGGCAGTCACGAAAGCTTTAAGTCAAGATTTATGCATCTATATTATTGTTATTATTTTGCTGCTATAAATTTCCACGTGATAAGCCACTTCGTTGAGCTGTCATTTGTGATAGCCAGGTCGCTTCTGAAAAGGAAGCTAATGGCTCTGTGGGCTTTACGTGTTAAGATAAAAATAGTTTATTTGATTTGTATGTATTTTAAAAATGATTTGTTTATCTTTCTTATACTTTGCACACTGTGTTTTTGTATTGGTTGTTGTAACGTTCTGAAAAAGAGCCGTATAGCTAATCGGATTCCTCCAGTATAAATACATATTCTGATTTTGAAATGCATTCACTGAGGAATGATCCCCCAGCGTCCAAAAGCGTTGCTTCCGCGTTCCTGTTCCTGCCTCTAACGCTGCGGCTTTTGCGTCCCTCCCTGCGCTTGCAGGACATGCAGGGGGAGCTGGACAGGGAGACCAACACCTTGCAGGAGATGCAGAGCCAGAACCAGGGCGCTCAAGAGCGGCTCGGAGAGCTGGAGCAGCAGAGAGCCAAGCTGGAGGCCATGCTGTCCGACCTACAACTCAAGTGCCAGGAGGAGACGCAGACGGTCCCTTACCGCACCGCGCCACCCCCCTGCCACCCCTCCTGCCCCCCCCCACTGCCCCCCCCCCCACCCTCCCCAGCCCTCCCTTGCCCACTCCCCCTGCCCCCCCACCACACACACGCCTCGTTCATTCATTCACTCGAATGGCCATTCATTCCACGTGAACTCAACTGGAGACTACCCACCTCCTCAGCGTTTTGATTTTCGCTCATATTTGTGCGTGATGGGAATGTGCAGATGAGGTATGCAACCTTGTCAAATGCTTGAGGTCAGTGATGAATATTAACTGAAATATGTGCCCTGTAGTAGGATGGTGTGGGGGGTTGCGGGGGTAAGACACTTGAAATGCATCTCATTTTCGTTGAATTTTAGATTTTTTTTGTTATGTACAAATAGCAAAAACTCAACATGTTCATCAATAACACTGCCCTAAAGGAAAAAAACCATAGGTGACCTTTCTTCATCGCAGATAATCTCTCTGCTTTGCAATGAAAAAAGGTCCGTTGCCCCAAGCCATATTCATTTAGATATCAGTTTTAAAGTTGTGTTTTTCTTGGTCAGGAATTGAGCCCAGGTTTGTTGAGATCAGTGCGGTTATTGAATCGTTAAAATATAATTGACGGTTCATTCGTCGGCACTGCTCGAGCAGTCGAGGAAGAGTTCTCTGGACAAGCGTGTACACGTAACAAAAATCGATTAGGCACTTTTTAATATCGATTTTCGCCACTGCAGTGGGGTGTCACTTTTCCGTGATCCGATTATCTGTCACTCCTCTTATTTATGGGCAGAATATATTTCCAGAAACTCATATTATTCACAAATGGAACGCGAATGATTTTTACTTATTTATTTCGTCCTTAGTCGTTAACATCCCATTGCTTGGCAAAGGGTTTCCTCTGCCAGTGTCTTCGATCTTCCACAATCTCTTGCCAGCTCCATCCAGTGCGCTCCTCCAAATCTTCTCATCTTCCTCTCTGCCATCTGATCCTTTGTCAACCTTTCTCCTCTCCACCGGCCTCCGTTCTGTTGTTCATTTCACCCACCTGTCATTTGATGCCCCAGATAGAATTCCTGCCCCAACTCCGTTTGAGTTTTTTTCCCCCTCTTAAATACGGTTGGTTACGTACGGTGTGATTGGCATGGTTGGCTACGTAAGGTGTGATTAGCACAGATGCCTACGTAAGGTGTGATTAGCACAGATGCCTACGTAAGGTGTGATTGGCACAGATGCCTACGTAAGGTGTGATTGGCACAGATGCCTACGTAAGGTGTGATTAGCACAGATGCCTACGTAAGGTGTGATTGGGACGGTTGTCTACGTTTGGTGCACGGTTGGTTACGTACGGTGCGATTATCACGGTTGGCTGTGTATGGTGCAATTAGCACGGTTGGCTGTGTATGGTACAATTAGCACGGTTGGCTGTGTATGGTGCGATTAGCACGGTTGGCTGTGTATGGTGCGAAAGAACTCCAACAATATGTTAAGTGCATTTCATCTATTTGGGGGATTTTGGGTCCGTCATTTGCACAATTACCCAGTCCGACTTATAGCTCTTCTGCCACCACCACAGGCCTTGATTCACCCTTGTGAAAAGCCCTCATGCTTTGCGAAGCACCAGGGTTACTCCCCTCTTCAGCCAACTGGAATTCTGAGGCCACTTCCTACTCCAGGGATTTACCCCCAACCTACCCGTGCTCATCTCCCCAAAGCCACAGGCACTTCTATGGGTGGGGGGGGGGCAGGGGGGGTATTTGGGAACCAGGTTTTCAGCAGCTCAATAGCACTCTGCATTGAGTTACTGGCAGCACTTTCTATTCTATCGCACTGGCATGCTCGTGCGTGGCCAAACAATATCGTTCAAATCATCTGTGGCTTTTTCACGTGAACAGGAGTCACAATATTTCCCCTCCTCTCTCCTCGGTGGTGAGCATAATAAGCACCACCTGACAGGAACGTGGAATTTACATCCTCTTTGGGTCTTTCGGTAAAGCCATGTAGATCGGGTGGGGTTCAGAGGTGCCAATGGAGGTGACCACTGGCCCATGCTTATTTCGTCATCGAGACTCTCACTGTTGATGGGACTCCTCCAACTGCAGTATCAGTTGCAGTGAGCAGCTGGTATTTGAAACTCATTCGACGAGCACTCTTGCGCTAACCTATGCTTGAGATGTTCCGGACATGTTTCAAATTCGTATCGGAGCTGGCTTCCTGCTGGCAGGATTTGGACAGCTTATTAACCAGCTGAAATGTAATACTGTAGCTGAGAACGAGCTCAGCAGGGAGCTGGCAAAATATAATTGGGTTAACAACAGAAAATTAACAATGAATGTGAGGTCAGTGATGCTAACGCAGATGGATAGTGCTGTAACATGAGAGTAATAACATTAATAAAAATGAGTCGGCCCAGGACCTGCAATCCAGACGTGCCCGGTTCAATTGCTAATTTGTGTTCAGTTCTCCGGCAACGATGTCCAAGTCAATTGATATACTCTTTGCGATGGGGATAAAGTGTGGGTAACCGCTATCTATCTATTCTATTGAATATATCCATTAATAAATGCCCAGTTTGAGAGGCCCATCACAAGACCTAGATTTGAAGTTTTCGTGACTGCAGGGATCCATACTCTTTGGTTCTTTCGGTAAAGTCACGTAGGTATAAAAAATATATACAGTAAAACCCTGGATTGCGAGTAACTTGGTCTGCGAGTGTTTTGCAAGACGAGCAATTTTTTTTGATAAATATTAATTTGATAAACGAGCGATTTCTTGCAATACGAGTAGTACGTGTATATGCTTTATCTGCCGAGCGTCATGTGATCACAACTGATATACGAGTGCTTTGGATTACAAGCATGTTTCTGGAACGAATTATGCTCGCAATCCAAGGTTTTGCTGTATAATTGTTTTTTTTTTAATACCTACGTGACTTTACCGAAAGAACCAAAGAGTACATCACCAGACCGTGAAAGGTCACGACGGCCTTGGGGAGGCCATTCATCCAGCAGTGGATGAATCGTGGCTGATTTTACGAATGATGATGATAATCACGATGGAATCCACAATGAAGAGTGGGTGTCGTCTGATGCGGTGCTTGTCACAACAGAACTCTGTTGTATCGGTGTTACGGATAGAACATCAGAAATGTGTAAACAAGTAAATATGGTGTTGGTGTATTTGTTTACAAATTCATCTCAATGTTTGTGGCAAAACATGCAAACAAACGTGCTCTGATAATATCTGTAGGCTAATCGGTTTTAAAAGCAATGCATATATTATCAGCGTGTTTGATTTCATGTTTTGGCACAAATACGTGTGGTCAATGTGGTTTCCATTCCTTGCAATGGGTATCTATATGGTATTTGAACATTTTAACACCAGTTTTATTGCAAGAAAGTGTAAAGCCTATACTTATCCCGTGTGTGTATGTATGGAGGCATTTGTGCATACTTTCATATATCTGTGTATCGGTGATGTTCGGTTAGCCACTGCCCTATCAGCCCAGCGATTAGGGTTCGATTCCTGCTCACGTCCCCGGCATCCCGAGTTCCATGCCCGCTCATGGCCAATACCAGTGACGATCATCTGCACTGGTGCTGGGCCTCCCCGAGGTCGACTCAGCCTTAAATGAATACCTGGTATGGTGTGTAAAGGTTGCCACTTGGGTGCTGGCCAAACATCTCCTGATGGGCCGTGCCGGCCGTCATAGGTGCCACTCACTTACAGCACTTGCCCCAAAAGTCTGTTCAGGCTGGATGGGAGAATCTTTGTATGTGGAAGGGCACCACAGTGTTGAGATGTTAGCTACCTCAGCTGGTGTACAGGAGGTTGTGGGTTCGATCCCGACCCGGATGAAGCCTGTAAATTTGGATTTTGCATGTTTTCCCCATGGTGGCTTCGAGTTTTCTCCTGGTCCTCCAGTTTTTCCCTCCATATTTAGAAACATGCGTTCAGAGTATTCAACTGCTATAAATTTCCACATTATGATAAGCAACTTCGTTGAGCTCGCATTTGTGATAGCCATATTCGCTTCTAAAAACGAGCTATATAGCTCAGTGGGCCTTACCTGGTAAAGAAAAATGTGATGTTGCGTTCGACCCATAATGACACCGAGAATCCTGCTGCGTTGGGGTCGCAGATCTCGTCGCTGCGGGTGCAGATCGCGGGCCAGGAGTCGGCGCTGCGCTCGCAGGAGGATGACCTGAGCAAGGCCAAGGGAGAGCTGAGCCGTCTGCAGCACGAGGAGAACCAGATGGAGCAGAGGCTGGAGGCTGGCAAGGCGCACCTAGAAACCATCGTGCGCTCCCTGCAGGCCACGCAGCAGGAGATCTCGCAGGTGCCGTCAACATGTTTTTTGCCCGATGATGGTTCAAAAGCGTCAATGCGTTTGCTTTGCCCTGACCGTCTGTCCTAACGTGGGGTCGCAATAAAGTCTGTTAACGGCGATCCAATTTGAACAAAACTTAAGGGTAAAGCTGCGTTGTTGTTCGGGACTTTTTTGATTGAAAACCGTCAAAATCGATCAAAGGGTATTTTGTAACAATGGCAGGCACAATAACTCTTGTAACGATGATTCAATCTGCGTGAAACTTTCGTGTAAAGTTGTGTTTCTGTTGGGGATTTACCCTTGAGAGAAACTGGCTAAACTGACAGAAGAGCAATTGACCACTGGCAAGTGAATGATTGCAGTGACTTAGCGAGTACTGGATAATAATCTAAATGGTGTGTGTATTGCACTGGGCATGGTGCTGGTCACCCACCAGCACAATACACACACCACTGGGGAGACAAAGGTGGCCGGGCATGGTGTTGATCCACCTCATGTGCCACAGTGCCGACTTTCATAGGTGCTGCTACTCACAGCACTTGCCCTGAAAGTGTGTTAAAGCTACACGGGGGATATTTGTCTTTTGTATTGTGCATCAGGTGCGTGGCATGTTGGCTCAACTGACAGATTCTCAGGGTGCTGGTGGCTCGCTGAACGGATCCCTGGACGTGCCAAATGCCGCCGAGGTGGATTCTCGCTCATCGCCGTTTGCCTCCAGGTCTGGGGTACGAAATGCTTGCCTCTTTTTTGTTTGCGAGAACATTGATTTGTATTGATTGCGATGGTTGACGCAGATTGTCGGTGATCGGTAACGGTTGGTGGAAGTTGTCGCCGATTGATTTCTGGGATCGCGTCTGCGCGAGCATGGCGAACAAGAGCAAGGGGCCTAAGAGCAGATGGTGGGGCACCGTGAGGGCAGACCCTGGCGGTCGTTTGTCTGCTGTGCAGCAGCCACGGGATCTAGCAGAGGGTCGAGAGCATTGGCAAGGAGTGGTGGCCATTAACGGATCTTTGTTTTTCCTCGCTTTATACGGTTTCGGTTTGTGTGATTTAGCACTGTATGTGCGACTCACCTATTTCTATCCCGAGATTCGCCGCATGCGGTTTTAATTAACTCGACATGCGGCTACGTGGTCAGACGTGCGGCGACGTTCTTCCATGCGCGCCGAAGCATTGCTCGGCAGGCAGCCGTCTTGTGCGGTGCGTTGTGGGTTGGGTGACCGTGCACTCTACCCAACGCGATTTCCCTTTTGCATGCCCTCTTTGTTTGCAATACATCTACCACCGCATTAAGCGGGAAAATCTTAGACGTTATCTGGATCATGATGACTGATGGTAGGTAATGACATTGATTGAGTACGGCTGGTGGCAATGATGATGCTCGGTGGTAATGCGATTATGATGATACGATACGGATGATGATTACACTCCTTCGGTCGCCGATACAAAGAGTAATCGATATAAGTAAATAAAAAAAACAAGTAAACTGAAAGGCACAATGTTGTTACGGTCATGAAAGATGCATTAACATAATCAAGCCTGGCGTAAGGAAATTTGAAAGCCAAAGATGAAACCCATTAGCTACCCATTTCCAAACTGTGGTTGTGCTCGCGTGACCACCGGCTATATAAACAGCCAGCCTCTGAAGAGTAAGTACCTTAGACGTAAGGCACTGTTGATTCCTTATGTGTTCAGCCGAGCAATTTGTACTTGATTTCTTCTCAGTCTTGGGGGAAACACCCCACCAACGCTAAATTTGAGCACTCACAAAAGTGTTCTTTGTTTCTACACCGGCCCTGCGATTGAATTGATCAGAGATGTAATCGTTAATGAATGGATTTTTTTCGTCGGGTTCGGTAATTGCGGCTTGTTAGCGCCTTTGGTGGAATAAGTCAGCTCAAAAGGTCACGGACCTCATTTGCCATTAGTGGGTAATGACGGGAGACCAGAGTACATCTTCAGCTGTCGCGAGCTTGACATGTGATTATTTTCTCATTTTCGCCGCTTCGCATCGCACCCAGGGCAACCCTCGGTCGAGCTCTGCAAGATTCTTGGTGATAGGCCCACATTGCCACGTGGCGTAAAAGGACCGATCTGTCAGGCTTGCCGCACATGCCCTATCCCTTTGTGACTATGCTTTGCGTAAAGGAACAGGTTAACGCATATAGCAGCTGTGTACATACTGTGCGTGACCCATTTGCTTGGCCATACTCCCAAAGCTTTGTTCTCCTGCACTGGGGATTTGATGAGGCAATGGGCTCTGGGTCAATTACACTGAAGGCTTATGTTACATTCTATAACAGGCGTACTGCTGCAGAGGTTTTTTTTTGTCATTAACCTTGAGAAAGGCTGCAGAGCCAATGCAAGCCATTGACAGAAATAGGGACATATCAGAAGAACGAAGGCCATTCAAGGCCAGCGCTCACCTCTTTTAGTTGATCCTAGGAACCTTCCTTGACCACGAGTATGAGGCCAGGCCAAAAACCATTTTCAAACGTTACATTCGCGGGCAAATTGTTCCATTCTCGATGGCGTTAGCGGTGCCGGTAATAGTGGCTGGGTGACCCTGTGCCCCCTTTTCCAGGGGCCTTGCTTTGACTCAAGATTCTGCACGTGGTAATCGTGGCCCCCAAGGTCAACTGGGCATACATTCAGAACCCGGGTAGAAGGACATTTTATTCGTTAACTCTCCTCGCGACGAGTGCTTTATGCAGTGCCGTTCTTCCAAGTCCAACCGGGTTTCAAATAAGCTCCCCCTCCAGAATGACTCTGCCTAAAGTGAACACCCAGTGCTGCAAAGGAGGCTGAGTATAAGGCATGACAGCGAGTGGGTGAGTGAGTGAATTTGAATACGCCTCTGAAAGTAAGACGCACCCAAATCTTGAGCCCTGGTGTCAAAAAAATTCTACAAATGGGGCCACGGACCCACACACACCAAATGTATTATACGGACAATGCCCAACGTTGGCTTTAAAATATAGGGTGGCAAAAAAGTGCTTCTTTTGAACTGGTTTATTTCAATTTAAAGCTTTCGTGACTGCAGCGATTCGTATTCATGGTTCTTTCGGTAAAGTCACGTAGAAGGGAAATAAAACAATAATACAAATATAAGACAATAACAATTCTCACGAAATTTAGACTGCAACACAAGCAATCATCATCAGGTGATAAGGTGTGGATTTCACACCTGATGACGATTGCTTGTGTTGCAGTCGAAACGTCGTGAGAATTTTTATTGTTTCATATTTGTATTATTTTATGTTTTCCCTTCTACGTGACTTTACCGAAAGAACCAAGAATATGGTTTATTTCAGTCGGGCGATGATCAACCGTGGATGCTGGACCATAAAACCACTTCTGCCCCTCAGTGCGTGTTTCTCTAAGCCTCTCAAGATTAGGTCATTTTTCCTTTATTGCCAATTACAGTTACAATCATTTGCTAAAAGTACAAAATTGTACAATTTATATGTTGTACAATTTACTTTAAAATAACAATTACTCTCGCTTTTTTTTGTCCTCGCTGTGCCGTCTGTTTTTAAGGTTCTTATGATTTAATGGCCATGGCCTTAGGCTTAGAGTGCACTGCTATGGCAGAATAATTACCCACTTGCATTAACATTGTGCGCAGAATACTAATGTGTGTATATAAAGGCAAATGCTTGCAAAGGCCACAGTTAAGTGGAAGAAATGTAAAAATTATTGAATATCCTTGAAGATGTTCTATGAGCAGCAGCAGCGTGGATATTTCCCACATGTAAATGGAGGCGTCATCAATTGGTGTTGCATTTTAGTTCTACACATTCTGTATAAAGGCCTCCACGCACCACGTTCATGATGGGAGTTATTTGACTATACCTCACCACACTGATCGCCGTGGGTTGGTGACGGGATAGGGCAGTGGTTTTGAACCTTTGCTGCAGCCTTTGCACCCCTTTGGTTCTTAATTGTAACAAAAATATATAATGGTAAAAAAAAATACATAGGTTTGTTGAAACAAAGTAGTTGTACTTATTTGCCTGTGCTTAATTTGTGTTTTCGATTATTTACCTTCTCAAAAATAAGTCTGACCATGCCACGCACCCCCAGAACGGGCATCTCGCACCGCCAGGGTGTGCGTGCACTCCACGTTAAGAACCATTGAGAAAGGGGGACGAGAACCAGTCCCAGATGTGTGTGTAGGGCAGTCCTCGAGTTTCAAACACAATTCGTTCCTGAGACCCGTTCGTCAGTGAGAACACAATAATGCACTGAATTTAAATGCTCGTATGGTCAGTGTTATGAAATGTGTTTGGGTTCAACAAAAAGGGCACCATTCTTAAACTCATCATTAAGAATAAATATTGTACATTTGCATGTAACACTGGAAAAAAATACTGTATAGTATATAAAACTTAAAGTAAATTTACATAAACAGCAGTCGGAAGGGGGGCAATGATTACCACAATTGCTCGCACACACACATGGTGTACACACACACAGACACACGCAGACGGACACAAAGACAAAGACCCCCCATATAGCCTTAACATACTGTTAGGGCGAGCACCTATGAAGACTTGCACGGCACACGAAATACGGTCGCAGGGTTCATAGCGCAGTGCGCTAACCACTACATATAAATGCGTATCTATGTGTGTGTATATATATCAGACATGGTGCTGGCCACCCACCCCCTCTTGTGCCATGCTGCCGTTAATAGTTGCTCGTGAACTGCACTTGCCCCAACAGTCTGTTAAGATTATATGGGGGATCGTGTGTTTATTTACACACACATATAGAGGGAGCAGTTGTGTAGCGGTTAGCATGCTGCACTCCGAACCCGGCGTCCTGAGTTCCTGCTCATGGCCAACACCAGTGATTTCTATCTGAACCGGTCCTGGGCCTTCCCTAGGTCGACTCAGTCCCGAATGAGTACCTGGTGCGGTGTGTAAAAATCACCACTAGGGAGACAAAGGGGGCCGGGTGGGGTGCTGGCCACCCACCCCCTCGTGTGCTGTGCCGGCCTTCATAGGTGCTCGCTAACAGCACTTGCCTCAACAGTCTGTGAAGGCTATACGGGGGATCTTTGTATTTTTTTGATGTGTACATATGTAGTGAGTCCAACTGAGTCGCAGACGTTTCTCTTTAGAGGCAACACATTTATTGTAACATCAACACGTTAATACAAATGGGTAACTGCCCCTTTACCAGATACAACCTCGGGTGGTGACCACCCAGCTAACTACACTATACGGAGGAGTTACAGCTACGAAGGATCTGACCCTCACTCAGGTTCCAGCCACGTGTTGATGCCTGTAGAGCTTCAACTTGTAGACGTGGAGCTTCAGCTTGTAGAACGCAGCGACCCCGGTCCTTGTCAGGGACCCACCTTATATCCTCCCGGGTCGGGGCCACTCCGCCCTCGGCCCCACCCGCCTTCTCGAGCGTTCTAGCTCCCTCTCGATCCCCCTCGAGCTCCTAGCCCCCCCACCTGGGGCCTTCTCTGTGGACACTCCAGATCACGTGTCTACGGGGTCAACTAGAGTGCCATGGCCCGGGGCAATCCTGCCCCTGGGCCGACACTCTCCCACTCCCCGTTGTGGGAGCCCGCACTACACGCTATGCGTGGTGCCCGCGCTAGCTCACCACTCCTACGGGATGTCCGCGATGACGGTGCAGAGCCGGCCTCACATAGCAACCCACCCAGTGCTGTCCGAGACATAGGAACATCGCACAGTGACATCCC